TGGGAGGGACCACCATTTACATCCATCTTTGGAATGGATGGTTTATGCCTTGGGGGCCGCCAATGTAGGCACGCATCCCACAACACATATAGCACTTTTCCGAAAATTATTGCAGCAAGTTCAAACTAGTCTGCCAACCAACGACCCAAACCCTCCTCTAACCCCCCCCCCCCCCCCCCGCACAAACAAAAAGAAAAAAGAAAAAAGAAAAAAAAAAGACACACACACACAAACTGGCAGTTTTACAAGTAGTGAGTAATAAATAAGAATAAATGAAAGAGATTCTTCAAAAAGATCATACTAGAATACAAACAAACACTAGCTTTCTGGCATGCTACTCTTCACATTACTCTTTCAACCAACAAGGGCCCACATCAAGGCATTTGGATTGATGTACTCAAAGGAGGGACTCAATTTAGAAGTAGGAACTTCCAATAAAGTAAAGATCTCACTCCAGTACAAGATGGAGACATGCACATAGCTCAAATTTGTGAATTTCACCAAAACAACTATTCCACAACTATGTCCGCTCATCACTCAAGCACTCTGTTTCTTGGGGTATGGATACACAAGGGGGATCCCAATGTACTTACCCTTTATATACACATACATTTGAACGCAACATTAACATGCTTTATACTTAATGCTTAGTTCATCCTACAACTAGAATTTGTAGATTTCAGATACACAAACTTGGCTGAATATGATAGGAACCTAAGTAAAACCTCATGAAACATCTTTGACACAGTATACGTTTTTCTCACTTTTCATCATTCAAAAGAAGAATACAAAAAAAGAAAGAAGAAATCTTTGGCACCAAAATTCAGCATCCTCAAAGTTATCCCTGATTTACACTTACTAAAGCTACAATGTATATATCAGCTCATTAATTAAGGAAGAGGGTGCCCTGTAGAGAATCTACAGGGCAACAGTTTAGGGCAAAATAAACCTTTCAGAGCAAGCCGCTAGAACCTCACCAATGCCAATCCAACTTGAGTCCACTATCCATCATGTTAGGTTGCCTTACCACTAATTGCAATGAGAAATTGAAAACAAAGTAGCGAATATACCCTTGAAGAATCTAGATATCAGCCTCCCACTGCAAATCTAAGTAATCTAACCATGTTGTACTCAGCACACTAAACCCAACAAGGATTGTTTCTGTAGTAACCTTCACATATTTGGTGTTCCACTATGGCTGCTTAGTGTGTGGCTTATCACACCGCAACTATTCTAAGTCCGTACAGTCTTTCTGCAGTTCCAGATCACTCTTCAGCTGTGACCCCCAAAGCAAACGCATCCGCAATTAAACCTTGAAGTTCACTTTCATTCATTGAACTTTTACCATCATGACTCAACTAACCAAACTGATTCTATAACTCCTCTCTTTGCTTGTCCTTTTATGGATAACTTTATCGTCTCTATGCTAGTGCTGCATTTCTAATGCAATCCAACAACCTGTGTTGGCATCTCATACATAACTACAGTTTTTATCGTCTTTTTTTACTCAACAAACTAAACCCAACAATGATTGGCTCTGTAGTAACCGTTTTATCTTCTTTTTGCACTCAACACACTAAACTCAATAATGATTCAGTATGTAGTAACCTTTACGCATTTGGTCTTACAATCTTTTCTGCAGTTCCATATCAGGCATCAACTGCAACCCCCAAAGCAAACCCATCTGTAGTTAAACCTTGTGGTTCACTTTCATCGAACTTTTAACGGTCATGACTCAACTGAACAATAGTGATTCTATAACTCCTCTGGATGCTTTTACTTTTATGGGTAACTTTATCCTCGGTATGCTAGTGATGCATTTCTGCTGCACTCGAACTACCCATGTTGACATCTCATACATAACTGCAGATTTATCTTTTCTTTGGTTGCCTCAAATCTGCCTGTGATGACTGATCTCACTAACAGCAATTCACTTTCATAATTGTCTTGTCACTGAGACCTTACACACCAGAGTTTCTTCAGGTCCTCATAGAGTCGTAGGGCAATAATTGAAGACCATAGTTAACAGGATATGGATCAGGACTGGTTCCAGGATCGGATTGGGAGTGAGGGATCATGAAAAGCTAGGTGGTCTCTAGGTTTAAGATCATTGTCCATACACCCAAAATTTAGGCATCGAGATCTCAATATATTGGGGAGCTCGAACCGAAATTCTAGGGATCAAATGATACAGGTTCGAGTTCCTTCCTGTTAAAAATCAAGGTCCTCGATGGCAATTAACTAGGGTTCCCTAGGTCAGGAATGCAATTCGTATAATATTATAAATAATTAATGAAGGTCTTAAAGTTTCAAGATTTTATTGAAAAATGTAAGATATCCAATCATTCTGTAATAATTTAATATTATGTACTCCTTTAGGTGTAGTTTATATAATATGTAGTAAACAATTTAAAAAAATATAATTGGAAACTAAAAAAAAAAAGAAAACAGGATCATTATGTAATATTATAATTCTTGCACTCTTTGAGTAAAGTTTATGACTTAATTTAATGCAATAACAACCATGGCCATCCTTCTTTGTTAAATAAAAAAGTATTAAGAAAAGTATTAAGTTGAAACTCAAGGTAACTCGTAAACTGTTAAAGAACCCACCCACAAAGGGATAATCTACCACCATCAGAAATTCTGTGTGAACAAAACATGTTAACTAATTATGCAAAATAATCCTTACTTAGCATTAAATTGAAGCTCAAGGTTCGAACTTGTGACCTATTAAAGAGGGCAAGAGGGACACTAAAGTCTACTACTGCAGGAATCTTGATCCAACATTGGAGGAACCTCAGTTCAGTTTACCTATGAACCCTCAGATATGATGCAAAGTAACATGGATCCCATGTAACTCAGGATCTAGATGGCCAATAGGAATGAACAAGATCCTAATGTTTAAAAACAACAGATGCGCAAGATTCCCCTCCTGGAGCGTAGAATCAAGCTTCCGTAGTGGGATGAACCCCTTGGTTGGGAGGTCCTAATAACTATACTGTAGACATCATTGCTTCTCAATAAACACTGCCTAAAGCATGCAGCATGATAAGGCATGCACCTCAAGAGGGTTGGAGAAGCTTCACAACAGCCTTCTTGAGGAACCATACGGCTTAAAACTAAGTCGAATGTTTTGCAAGGTGTTCAAGACCACTTCTAGGAAAATGGTGGCAATGAATATTTCACGTAATAGTTCAATATATTTGTTAATTCTGTGCATATAAACTTACGTTAGTGTTATCACATCACTTCCACCCCTAGTTACTAGACACGCCAATACATGTGGCAATTCCACTCCAAAATATTGCTCGAACGCTTTGGGTGAGGGATCTCAATTATAAGATTTTTTGATATCAGTCTCCACTCTTAAGGATCGTGATCCTAATAGTGGAACTTTTGAACATGAATAAGTGAAGTACTATACAAGTCACATAAAGCTATCCAATAACCAATCTTGTGACTCCAGTTACAATAAGATCCCAGAACATTGGGATCAAGATCCCAAAAACAGCTGGGACCGAGATCCATGAAATATGCATTGTACAGTACTCCCTACTGTGGGGATCTTCCCAACTCATTCCAAACCCTGCTCTAGATTCCAAGAATTGTCAAAAATTTAAAAAAAAGAATTGTTTATCACACAAAGAAGTATAGCCAATTTGATTGTTAAAAATGAGTAAAATAGGATTAGTGCAGAAAAACATATGGGATTGTATACTTTGAGACCATTTATTTTTAGTACAAGGTCACAATCACTTCTAGCCATTGGATGTGAAATCCAATAGATGAAAGTTTGTCACAATTCGAGAAATTTAATTTTGGACTCTGTGCTCAAACAATGACACATCCACAACCACCTGCTTTCAAATCTAATGGTCAATGATAATTATGACCTCCTTGTATCAAAATAAAATGGTCTCATTGTATACATTTCCAAAACATATTTGTCACATACATCCATGATTGAGATGTTTTGAAGAAATAAGCATCATCCTAAAAAAATATGCCATATTTCACCATTCATGACCTCCTTGTATCAAAAGAAAATGGTCCCATTGTATAATTCCAAAACACATTTGTCAATTTCCAAAACATATTTGTCACATACATCGATGATTATTTCTCACATATATCCATGATTATGATGTGTTTGAAGAAATAACCAGCATCCTGCCATATTTCACCATTCAGTAACAACATGATAAATGTAACATCATTTTCACTAGAGAAGATTCATGCAAAATCTTTTCTTTTTTTTTTCCTCATGGGGAATGTTTATAAAACAAATAAAAAAAGAGAAAAAACTGAAGGGAAAGGTTTCTATACTTCCCTACAAGATAGAAGATCTATGCTTCCCCTACCATCCAGCCGTTCAATTTTGATTAAGTGAGTCACTCATCGTTTGATCTTAGATCCGACGCCTCAGAGCATTATATTTTTAATGTTTTTTATAAAATTGAATGAATATGAAATTTGGTACATGCCATCTTCTCATTGGGGCGCACCTACAAAAAATATTGAAAATAATTTTTTCGATAAAATTTAATGATCAAAATACTCCTTGAAAGTTTCAAGGGGAGTTTGGTCATTTTATTTCATTGGGAATATTTGTTTTATATTTTCTACAAGTGCGAGTTTAATAGAGGATTGGACGCCCAAAATTTGGTGTCAAAATAGTTTATAGAAAAAAAAAAAAAATTGTGTAGAGGCATGACATTGTGATTGGGGCAATCTTAGCCCTCCATTCAGAATGGAGGGTTGGACAAGGGGAATTATATAAGTTTTATGTTGTAGGAGAAGCATAGAAAGCTTGCCCAAAACTGAAAAGATATCAAAATGCACTTTACATCTTTCTCATGGGTAGACAGAAAATGTGTGCTGCAACAGACAAGGCACTTTACCACCAAAGCACTCAAATAAAATCGCTTTAAAGGAGAGAGTAAAGAAGAGAAAGAAAAACATATAAGGCAGTGTGCAGATACTAAAACGCCACTTGCCTTAGCTCGTTTTAGTACTTCAAGCAACTTCTTCAAATCAGAACAACCATTGTGGAAGTATTCTGTGATGGCAATATTGAGGACAACCTGCAAAGGCAACATCCATCCAAAGGATTCAGCCATAACTAAAATTTCAATGATAAAAGATAATTCATCAAAGTTTCCAACTTTAACAATAAATTAGTATCACCAATCCATAAGCCAGCATTTTTATGTAGTATGAAGTTTCAAACATTTCATAAGAGCTAAGCTCTCAAAAGGTAGACAATGCCAAATTACTAAGAGAAGAAGACGAGCCATCTAGCATTTCCCATGCTCCAACTCCTGGAGAAATTCATAACACCCGTTGTACCCCAATGGATTATCTCCATCTTGCTCATCATTCCCAGAACATGCAATACCCATCCATTTTATGCCTAGAAAAAACATGACAGATGTTCTGCAACTACGTAAACCACATATATGAATAGCATTATTCTACACATAGAAATAACATCACAGTATGCAGGTACCCATTAGAAATTATTCATTGGAACACGTGAAGCTATTGCAAGCTTTTGCCTTCGTTTTGAAACACCCACCCAGTGTTTTAAAAAATGGACCGCTCAGGGCCTGGGCCGCCGCCAAGCGGTTCAGAAGGCCTGGGTGCATTGCCCAAGCCGAGGCGGCCAAATTAGGAGGATATCCATGGGCGCCCACCTAGGCGCCCACCTGAACCCGCCTAGGCGCCCGCCCAAGGGTGTAAATGAGGCTCCTTAGGGTATATTTGGATCATTTTTTTAATACTAATGGGGCAAAATTGTGGGTTTTAGGTTCATTTGAAACGTAAAACCCATTAAAGGTTATTTTAAAGATAGAAGACCAAAAAAAAAAAAAATTCTACTGGACCCCCACCCCCCTCCCATCCCGACCGCCTAAGTGCCGCCTAGCGCTCTTTTTGAAACACTGCACCCACGATACATAAAAGACGACTTTATATATATAATACTCATATGAGATGAAGTATTTAACATTTAGGCCACTTGCAACTAATCCAACTCAAGACCATGTTTTTTATGGGTATTTTGAAATTAAATTAAAAGATATGAGTACAGTGTTAAATTATTCATCTCTCATAGGTAATTTGATAAATTTCCAATCCATGTATATATAGACATACAAAAACACACATGATATACATACATATAAATATATAGATAGAGAGAGAGAGAGAGACGTTGCAAAAGCCCTCTAAAATGAGGGTTTTGACATTTTATATATATATATATAGAGAGAGAGAGAGAGACGTTGCAAAAGCCTCTAAAATGAGGGTTTTGACAAGACTTGGCCACTACGAGGGTAGCAAAGCACTCTTTTAGTTTTAGAGTGCTTCGCAACAGCAAAAAGCCCTCTAAATTGAGTAATGATGGAATCCATCTTAAACCAACCTCCCATCCGCTGCCTTAGTGGAGCCCACAGATGTATTGGCCCGTAAAAGTCTATGGCTGGCGAATGAGCAGAAGAAAGCATTCCCAAAAACAACTATTCCATTTTTTGAACTCCACCGATTCGTGAGTGGTCAACTCTTAGCCAATAATTTGACCTTGAACCAACTTGCCCTGTCATAGTAGTGAGCGCTTTGACTGCTATAGAGAAGCAAATGCTAGGAATTCTGGGGAGAAGCCAATTGATGGACTCAATGAACCCCAAAGGGGCGAGGAAGGTGTAGGCTCTGTCTCAGCAATGGTTCCGAACCAATTGAATGAGTTCTGATTATGAGGGCCGGCCTGAGCTGAAAAGAGATGTTTCAAAGCTTAGAAGGTACTAGCAAGGAAGCCAAAACGCACTCTGATTTACAACTGTGAGAAAGCAAGCTATAAATTGATAGTGAGAATGCCACTGATGAGGCAGAGGTGCCAGGGAACGGACCAGCAGAAACTATGCCTTGAATGGAGTGAGCCAAGGCAAGGAATCAATAAAGAGAGAGAATCCATGGTGTCTAATGAGGTTAGAGATATGATTTGAAGGGAGTACGCACTCAAGCAAGAATAAGCACCTTTTATTCAACATCATTTGAAAAGCTCAACCCATGTAATCAAGTCAAGTAGCATTCACTTATATGTATATACAAGCACACACATGCGCGAGTATAAGCGCTTTTTATAAAGTATAGGCGCTTTTTATTCAACATCATTTGAAGCTTTGCTTTGAAACCTCGGCCCATTCAATCAAATCAGCTAGCATTTGCATGTATACAGACACCTATGCACACACACATAAAAACACAAATATATATATATATATATATATTATATAGTAGAGCACATTTGAGATGTCGTATCAGTCCAGTGGTTGGATGGGTCAAAACAGCTAGCCACGCATTTTGATATGTTTTTTTTACCACTGGCTATAGCAGAGTTTGTGTATACTGCCATTAAATACAGCTAAAACCACAGAATGAGTAGGACATTACCAAAAAAATATCCACCTACATCCAAGTCCTAGTCTATACCCCAAATTTCATTGAGATTATAGACATTGTGAACCTAAAAATGATTATCATATCTCATCCTCTGCATTGGCATCAGGGTCAATGAATCTAAGTGAAGGACCAAAAAACATGGATCCAAAGACAATATGTGCATTGCACAAACAATAAGATAATAATAGCTACCTACATGACATGTATGTCAGAATAAATAGTAATTCTAGGTTAGTGAGCAACATGATAAGCTGCTAAATGCTTTACATAACTGAAATATACAAACTTGTATCATCTGACGTCCGCTACAACACCTGTACATAGATTTTACAGGCTAATCATGGGAGTCAACACATGGGCCATCATGCCCTCCTTGGGGCAATGGAGAGAGATCAATTCACCCCTCACAAGGATTCATATATTGCCCATGTCAATGCTCATGACTATCATCAGATATCAACAATCACAGGTGGTCAGGGTGGAAGGTGCCACGATGTGATGTCTTGGGTTCCATTCCCCTTGTTAACATTCACAAAAAGAAAAAAAAGGGAGAAAACAATGTCATGTTTCATAGGCAAGGGAGAAAATGAGAGGATGTAAACCTAAAAGCAATAGCACTAGATCAATAAAGGATTCCTATCTTCCCATTATTTCAGCAAAAGGAACATCATTGTCGACCAATTTGTTCAGCTGTTCATGAAGAAAAAGCAATTAGACTACACCAATTAAGAGTCATATCCATTTTACATTCCATGGGTATGAAATAAATTGTTACATGTGTCTCCACTAGAAAACAGAAAAGATCCAATCGCTAAATGATGTAGTCAATGGATAGTAAAAAAGGAGAGGAATCCATAAGAATCTTTGTTAGTATGTGTTGAACATGGGTATGGCACCCAAACAAAAGAATCCATGTAATATAGCATTCAGAATAGACAACAAATTCCCAAAACTACCAAGATAGATAAGTTGCAAATCAAATCTTTCTCATATCATGTTTTGTCTCTAAAGTTCCTCGTCAAGCTAATATTGTCCAGTTGTCAACTAAAGATTGTTTTCGAGTGTTGTCTCATAAATTAACCTCTTTCTTTTTTCCAAGCTATAAATTAACCTCCTTTTTTTTTCCCCTAGAGATAGCATCAACACGAAGTTAGAACTTTCGCGGGATGCTCCAAAATCTAAAGGTTTTTAAATTAACTGGACCAAGACAGAATATATGGAATGCATGTTTAGTAATAACAAGAGTAGAAACATGTCTAGTAATAGCAAGAAGTACCTAAAGCAGATTAGTTTCAAACTTTCAATATCTTGGGTCGATAGAATTAAGGCATGAGAAAGGAGAGATTGAGGAAGATGCCGCTCGCAGAATTCGAGTTGGGTAAGCAAAGTGGAGCTAGGCTTTTGGACTCTTATGTGATCATCGCATATCAATGAAACTGAAATGGAAGTTCTACAGAACGACTATAAGACCAACCATGCTTTATGGGATGGAATGTTGGACTGTCAAGAAGCGACGAGTCCATAGAATGATGTAGCTGAGATGAGGATGTTGAGATAGATGATTGGCAAGACAAGAAAGCATAAAATTTAAAATTAATACATCCGAGAGAACTTAGGGACTGGACATGCTCCAATAAATGATAAGATGAGGGAAAGTCGACTTAGATGGATTGGCCATCTGCAACGTCGACCTAGATCAGCACCAATTAGGATGGACGATTTTGTTCCATTGATAGAGCAGAATGGAGGAACATAATTTGTATAGCCAACCCTAAATAGTTGGAATAAGGGTCGGATGATGATGATGATGTTATAATTTAACATCTGTTTCCCATTAACTCATGTTTTGTCAATGATTGTGGTTAAACTTACAACCAAATTTATATTTTGAAAAATAATTCTGATCAACTCTTCTCGCAGATTTATGGTTCAACAGAAACATCCACGTATAACAAGAAAACAGAAAGTATCTTAAAGGAACAAGTTTAATGCAAATAAAGGCTATTTACCCAAAAGGAAAAAAAAAAAAGTGGCATAGACCGTTAAGTGTGCCATTCAGCAGGCAAAGCTGAGGACTAATATTAGGGGCTAAATTAGTCATGTCAATGAACATACCACCGTCCAATAAAATGAAATATTAAAATGAGAAAAGGACAACCACCGCAAGTAGAGAATTCATCTAAAAAACTCATTAAAATCTAAACTTTTAATAACTTAAAACAGTAAGCTGCATCCTCAACATTTACGCAAAGTAAAAGAAGTGTCCTCTTATTTTATGAACCAACAAACTTGGGGCACAAGAGGATAACAAAAAGAGATTTCATAAATGTTCTTCAATAAGGAGGGGAAAAAAAGATATTGTAACTGTTGTATGTGCTTATGCCCCAGTAAGAGTAACAGGTATAAGAAGTCTAGTGGGAATGTATCCTCCATCATTTGCATTTGTTATCGAAACACAGAGGACACCAACTTAATGAGTAGAAGACACAAACCCCAAGTAGGAAATCAAGCAATCTCAAAGATACCAACAATATTTGCCAGAAAAAAAATGGAGAGATAGAACATAATAAGAGCGAAAAAAAAGAAAAAAAAGACAAAAAAAAAGAAGCAAAATGAGCCATCTTTATAATATAAGAAATGCAATAAATAGTATAGCATACAAAGTCTAACCCTATCTAAAGCTTCTGACCTGAAAACCAAAAACAAGCATCTAGAAGCAAGGGTTCATCAAAATCAATCCATTACTACATGAAAAACTCATTAGTAAAGGAAAGGGCAAAAGCAAAGGCACCTTTAGATCACCATCTTTCTTCTGTAAAAGCTGGTTCAAAGCATCGAGACATTCCTGATATCGCCTCGACTGAAAAAGAATAGAAGCCTCCTTAGCCATGCCCGCTGTTACAGAGAGGTTCCCATCCTCATCAGAAGAACCATCCCTATTTAAAGATTGCAGAGACTCTTTAGAATCCATGGATAGCGCAGATCAACCTCTCCAAAAACCCCTATCAAAACAGCCCCGTGTGGGCGAAACCCTCAGAAGACAGAGCAGCAATGGAAATCTGGTTCAGATGCGCATTCTAGAGAGACAAAAAGAGTGTGGAGATTTTGAGAGAGGATAGTAGGGGTTAAGGCGCTCAGGGACCAGGGGTTCGAAGGCGTTTGCAGCGAGCAGCAGTGAGTGTTTCCCCCCCTAAATCTTCCATTTTCTTTTGTTTTAGCTTTGGGCGCAAGGGTCGGCTAAGCTGGTGAAGATAGAAAGAAAGAGACTTCGTTTTCCTTTTTGGTTGGGCACCTGTGAATTGTGGGGTGGGTCTCTTGCTCTGGTCGGGGGGTGCCGGTTTCTTTCTAGCTTTCGGAATGAGAGCATGGGGTTCTGTGATTTAAAGGGATTTCAGAGAGACGATGGGCCTTTAGATTTTAGATTTGGAACAGCGTCGGAATCGGGGTTTGCACGAGCCACGGCAGGGATTTTTGGGGGCGCCATGCCCCATATGCCCTAGGCCTTCCCTCACTCGACGTAGTATCCTGCCCTACGATCTAATGATTAGAGCCGACTAGAACTAGGACTCGACAGGTAGATGGACCTTACGTTTGGGTATGAGTCCAAATTTTAGACCCGAGTACTATAGTATAAGTCTAAATTATAGATCCGAATATTATACGGATCTAGATCTGGGTCCAACCGAACCTAACTCGCACTCATTGTCATAGGATATATGATGGAAATAATGTGTCTTTAGGTATGAGCTAGGTATTTATATTGCCACAATATTGATAATATTTACAGTATTATTAGAAAAAAAAAAAACAAAACATAAGAAGCTCATAATCATAGGATATATGATAATAAAAAAAGATTTTTTTTAAAAAAAACTCATAGTTATAATGTGGCAATGGATCTTATCAAATCCGGTCCCACTATGAGTCCAAATTTTGAACACAATACTATTTAGGTCCAAATCCAGCCTAACCCGACCTGTATCCGACCCTTTGCCTCTTAGAAAATAATCTCTTTGAGTTCACGATGTAATACCCCATCTACCCCAAATGTAGCGTACCCTTTCTTTGGGTTGTCCATTCGTGTTTACTTGTTATTTTTTTCATTGAATTTCATTTTTTCTCTTCTTATTGATTACAAGGATGAACGCGCCATAACAAGTTGCTTTTTAAAAACCCCTCTAAAACTGACAAAATTGTTTTGATCGTCCTTCTTTTAAAAAACCGAGGTTTGCCTACAAAGTACAAATAAACTATTTATCTTTTGTACCTAGAGGTCAGGATCATTTTTGTTCTTTAAGTATCAAAATGGGTGGTTGTAAGAGTATTATTGAGTAGACACAAAGTTTTAAAAAATTGATTTCTGAGTAGACACAAAGTTTTTAAAAAATGAATTCTCGGATTTCGTGACTCACTCTAAACCATCCAATTTGACATCTAATGAGTAAGAATGATTGTGACCTCCATGTACAAACGATAAATTGTGTCTTTATGGACAATCCCATATAAGAGTGTGAGAAGAAAGCTCCCATCTACTTAAAATGCCGCTTGTTTCATTGAAGATATGCCAAAGCATATATTGAATATATGCATGCACCAATTAATGGCATTCATCTAGTGACCTACTCGATCGAACATTCCCACGAGCATTAATCAGCAATTTAAGTCCTTATAACAGGGCGGGAACTTCTACCTCGATTGCTGAACAAACGCCACATGGACCTGAGCAAGTGTATATATAAGTTCCTTGATGATTCCTCCGAATTCCGCTCACCCTACCAAACTTGGACTTTCAAGAGAATTGCCATCAATATTTAATGATACACACCTTTGTGGTGGTGGAACGATCTCCGATTTCTCTGGTTCTTCCAAGCTCTCATCTTAACCATCTCGCATTCTTAGATCCCTTTTCCTCACTTAGCAACACTAGCTTTGTTATCAATCGTCACTAAAATTTTGATATCATTGCTACATCAGCCATCACAATACCTTTAAATCTTGTATTCTTGCATTCTTTCCAAATTTGTCAAACCAGGGCATCAAATAGAAGGCAGCAGCATACCAATCTTTCCAATGATCATATCAAGCGTAAATTAAGGAGCTATGCTACGATTGTGAAAGCAACCCACTGCATTCCAGTAAGCTTGAAAGCCAATTTTATAGCTCCCTTGTGAGTGAGCAATGCAAGTAAAGATCTTCAAGATCCTCACTTTCTTTTCATGTTAGATGTTGGTTAGAACATTACCTTTTCTCTTGAGCTTGTCAACAGTAAGCAACTTACCAAGGCCTAAACTCCATGTGTAATATTGAACTTTATGCGAAGTGGGGAGTTCCTGTACGTGGGTTGTCACAGAATCGAAGGGTACGAATATGCTGTAGAGTTCAACCGATAGGGTGACCTAACTGAGAATTCTCCATTAGAATTGACCTTCATATTGTTTAATCCATTTTAGTTAGATATTAGAGGAAACATTGCAGCCTCTCCATATGCCATATGTATTGCTAAATAAAGAGATCTAGTAATCCTTTGTTATATATGATCGAAAAATCGTATAGCACGAATCCCTGATCCTTGGGTCGTTTCCTTATTTACTGCTCATTGATTTGTCAAATTTTGGGAGTCTTCAGGGAACTCCATGTGCAAAATTTTATCACCAATTTTATGATATTGTTCCCCTTTACCTATCATTTTTTTAGTGTTTCTTTGAATGAGGGATCTTAGAGCAAGTAATATCTCTCCAAACTCTTTCGAGGATTTAGGCAGCCTCTAACTCTGCCACCTACCTGCTATTGGTGATACTTAGACTATACCACTTGTTTCCATAGTTTATCACCCTCCCTATAGTATCTCCACCACCATTTAGTAATTAGGGTAGAGTTCATGAGTCTTTGATTCCCAAGCCACCAAGTTTATTTGGTATACATACTTTTGTCTCAAGCTATCAAATGAAAGTTTCTACTCTCTTCATTGGGGAGTTATTCATTATTGTTTCGAGTATCTTGGTCACTTGGTTTTGCATTCTAAATAGTGAAATATAATAAAACTTGTATATTACATAGAGTTGATTTGATCAAAATTACTCTTCCACCAAGTGATAAATATTTTGATATTCAGGAGTCCAAATTTACTTGAAGTCTTTCAATGAGAAGATATTGGGCTGATCTGCAAATGACGGTCCATCAAAGGGAGGCCAAGGTATATGCATAGTAAATTATCAACTACACATCCCATGATCGCACATTGATCATACCTAATAGCTCTCCTAATTTAATCTATTTTTAGGCTTTCCATGTACCCTTATGGAAGTAGTTCTCAACCAATTTTTGTACATGTGTGTGTGGGAGATGGAAGAGAGATTAAGATAGGGCAGTTTGATTTTAATCAGGAAAATTAGCTTGTAATAAAACTAGCTAATGACATTTGTATTGTAGATACCCCCTCCAAATTTGAGAGTTCTATCACCCTAGGGACCACACTAGCTTCATACACCATAGGACCATCCAAATATTCCACAATACCAAAAAATATTCAAAATTTGTTTGACTGGAGTTCGTATAGGTCCAAAATAGCTGAAATCTTACAAAATCACAAGATCTCATAAGAAATCAAGATATTAGAAATTGATTATGTTCTAGCGATGCAATATATGTCGTTGGACCTATTGAGCCCAATGCATAGTGTTGTTGACCATTCAATTGCTTAGATTGAGCTAGGTGTCCATGTTTTGGTTTTCCAAATGATTTTTTTGTAATGGGGGCTCTTCGGTCAGTTTTAGGGGACTCCTAGCAAAGGAAACCTGACATGTAGCCTCTACAATGCCAGTCTTATAAATGCCTTAGTCAAACCCTAAACCCTCGGCAACTCAAGGAAAATCTTCTTAAGCCCTAAGCCAAGCAAAACCTAAACCCCATGCAACTCAACCAATCCTAGAAGAAGATCATTCCTTCTAGACCTAGGCGATCATTGCTTGACATCTCTCCCTAGAAGTCCGAGAAGGCTTCTAGTTTAGTAACCTTCAAGGAGAAAGGAGAAGTGACATGCCCCATCATGTCAGATCCGGGCCCTAACTCTAGGTATCGTGCCAAAGGGCTAGCCTGTAAGTATTTTCATATTCTATTTCCTTCATTATTAATCTTTTTACTTTCTGTAAAATATTTCAAAACTCCTCATGGATATTACACAAGTCTGAGCCAACCGACAATATGCGAGAAAGAGGTCTCCTTCGAGACTAATTCCTCACATATTGGAATTTGACGGGACACATCTCTAAAAAGATTTTAAATTACCGAGTTTTTGCACAAATTCGAACGAAATGGACTTCACGTAGTATGTTTCATCTAGATTTTATGTGTAAACAGTTTGGTGTCACCGTGGGTCCGTTAAGCTCAATTTGTAAAACCCCGTTAGAAACACCCCTAAAACTACACTTTAGGGGCATTTTTTGACAGACCAGAAAACTAGTAATCAGGAAATAGGAAACAACAGGGGGTATAGAAAGAGATCAGTAATACCGATGCATAATGTGGTGCAAAGACTGTATGGCTTAGTAGCGCAATAGGCATCGCTATTGTTTTTCTTACTCAGCTTTTGTTGATCTTTAGTGCGGACGTGACGGTGTGTTTGATCTCTTGTTTTTATGGAATTTGGTCACTGTTTAGGGTATCTCTTTTTGTTTTCATTTTTCGTCATTTTGCTCAATAAAGTCTACCTCTAGTCATTGTTGTAGTGCATCAACGACAAACTACAACGTCCCTTTCTAGGGTGGCCCTGATCTACTTTTCTCTGATCTCTATTATCTTGGAGCCGATAGTCTGATGATATAAAATGGTTCTGTAATTGCATCCAACATTGCTTTAGACCGAACCTGGAAGCACCAGAGCCTGCTAGGAGTTCACGAGCTCTAGTGGAGCCCAACAAGTTCTTAGCGATGCATAGTGTGTCACTGGTGTCAGAGGTTCCGGCATCTCCGATAGGCCCTGTAGTTTCCGGTCAACAACTCCTCTTTCTGTCTCCACTTTGTAATTAGTTGAAACGTAAAAAACAAAAACTAAAAATAAATAAAAAATAAAGAGAAAATTAGGTAACATATTTCTTGGTTTCATTTCCAACTATAGTTGCTTATTTTATTCTTTACCTACCATATTTTACTTTTAGCAAAATATTTCAGTTGTAATATTTTATTCAAATTGTGTGTTGTCGCACCACTTAGTACCCACTTCACAAAAGTGCTACTTCCCACACTCCCCACACAGATAGACTAGGAAACCTGGAAAACCATTTCAAATTTTTTAAAACTCCCAAAATCAGTGTTCAAATCATGATGGGCAACTAGCTTGTTAGAGTAGGTAAGGTTTGGGATCAATGGTTTCATATGAGCGCCCCTCTGTTAATCAATGGTTGTCAACACAGGCTTGTACGTCCGTGGGTACCCAAATAAACTTAACAACTTTTCACAATTTTCTAGCTATGAACCCCACCAAACCCAGCCCAAGTCTCTGGCCCCATCCCTAGCTCAGTCTAAGATATCAGGCTGTCA